AAATATCAGTTGAAAAGAATCATGTACCAAGAACATCAGTTTATGGAGTTATTTTAGTTCATAAAAATAATTTTCCACATTTATTAGTATTACAATCAAATTTATCAATGGATTTAAAAGATGAAATTCATCTTGTTGGAGGAAGATTAAAAATTGGAGAAGATGATCCTGTTGAAGGATTAAAAAGAAAATTAAGAAAAAAAATGTCAATGGAATATATTACACATTATGAAATAGGAGAATTACTTGGAACATTTTATAGAATAGAATATGATAAAAATTTATATCCATATATTCCAGTTCATGTAAGTCAAGTCAAAGAAATTATTAATATTTATATGATTCATCTTGTTGAAAAATGTGATTTTAAAATATTTGATACAGACAAATTAAGTTCAATTCCACTTTTTGCTTTACATAATAATTTTGAAAAATACAATATTACACTTTGTTCTATTCCAACTTTAGTTTCAAGGTATCTTATGATTTATGGTTAATAAAAAATAATTTAATATGAATTTGTAAAATTTGAAATTCTTTTCATTAAATAAAAAAAAAAGAAAAAAGAAAAGAAAAAGAACTTAAAGAAATTAATGAATGCACCTAATTTAAGAAGTGAAGGATTAACTCAAGAATCATTAAAAGTAACACAAAACTTTATAATAGGAGGATTAACACAACCACTTCCTGATTCATTTCAAAGTGTAGAAATTGGAAGAATTACAATGCTTATGTTTTATTTAGGTGCATATAAAATATTATTTCCAGAACAACCAATTAACAAAGTAATAGATACAGAAAAAACTATACAATATATTTTAACATCACTGAGTGTAAAAAGTGATTCAAAAGAAGTATTTCAAGGATTTACAGGATGTGAAATGTATGGAATATTTAAACATGGACATATTAGTTATACATATGCAGCACTTGCATCACTTTCACAATTAGGATATGATTTAAGAAGAATTGATAAATCTAGCATTGTAAATTCATATCATACATTATTTAGAAAAGAGTGTAAAGGAGTATTTGCAACAAGTCTTGAAGAAGAAGGAGAATATGATATTAGATTTATATATTCATTATGTGCTACATGTTATTTATTAAATGATTGGGGAAATATTAATAAAGAAATATTATTTGAATTTATTATGAGTTGTAGAAGTTATGATTTTGCATTTGGTCAAATGCCAAAAAGAGAAAGTCATGGAGGATCAACATATTGTGCAATTCAAAGTTTATCATTAATGGGAATGATAAATAGATTAGATCATATTGAAGAATTAGTTCAATGGCTTGTTCAAAAAAGTTATTTAGGATTTTCAGGAAGAATAAATAAACCAGCAGATACATGTTATAATTATTGGATTGGTTCAACATTAAAAACACTTGGATATGAACATTTAATAGATAAAAAATTTGTATTGTTTGTTTGGAATTATTTAAATAAATAATAAAAAAAAAATAAGAATTTATTATATATAGAGCATTTACAGAAAATTGTGTATCAAAAAGATTTGGAGGAATTGGTAAAAATCAAGAAGCATTGCCAGATCCAATGCATACATTTTGTTCATTAACAGGATTATCATTAATTGGAGCATTACCAGTAAAATATACAATTGATTCTAGAATAGGAATTGAAAAACCATCATATCTTTGATAAATTAAAATAAAAGTTAATTTAATTTTTCTTTTTACAAATAAAAATTAATTATCATTGTTTGCAACTTGAAGTAATATTTTGTATATCTCACTAAATGCTTTATTAATTTGTTCTATTTCTTTCCCTCCTGTAAATACTATTTTTCCTGATGCAAAAATTAATAATACCATTTTAGGGTCAGCTAAACGATATACAACACCTGGAAATATTTCTGGTTCATATTTAGTAATTTTTGGAGCAAGTTGAATTAATTCTTTAAGTGAAATAGCAAATTTCATATCACATGATGCAACTACATTTTGTATTTTAAAATGATTAAATTTAACATTATATCCAAGTCTTTGTAAAATTCTTGCATATTTTCTTCCTGCTAATCTTGAGTCATCAACTGTTTTTCCTCCTGTAACAACTAATTTTCCTGAATGAAAAACAAGTGCTGTTGTTTTTGGATTTGTAATTCTTATTATTAATGCTCCAAATCTTTTAGGGTTATATTCTGCATTTCTAACTCGACGAACAACATCTTGTAAATTAATTGTACAATCAAGTTCTACTGTTGCTACTATATTTCTATTCTTTAAATATTGATTAAATTATAAAATTAATTAAATACCAAACTGAATAACTGGTTTTTCAATTTCATTTGTAGGAACTGGTAATTGTTTTATTATTGGTTTATTGTTATTACTTGATATTTCTAAATCATTGTTTGTTAAAGAAATTGGAGATGATTGAGAAGACATTTATTTTTTGAAGATTATTTTCTTCTTCTAATTTTTTTTTTTTGTTGAAAATCTAAAATATAATTTTTATAAAGTAGAATATGAATGAATTATGAATAAATGAAAAGACATTATAATGAAAGAAAGAAAATGAATTAAAAAAAAATAATGAATAGAATATTAAAAATGAATAATAATGAACGCAGTTCATTAGATACAAATAAACAAGAATTGAAAGAAATAATTTTAAGAGAAATTAAAATTAGAACTAAACTCCTTCAATCAAATCAAAGATATAATGGAATGAAATGTGAAGGGTATTGTAGTGTTCTTATTGGAGATGAAGTTCCAGGGAAATTTACAGTTAGTACATTTCCACCACCAATTGAAGATGAATTTTTTTCAATAGAAAATTTATTAAAAATAATTGAAAGATTTGAAGAGGATGCAGAAATTATTAATGCAGTAATGTATTGTATTGCTATTATGGTATTAGAAATAACAAATAGAAGTAAATTTAAAAGAAGTAATGGAATAGAAATTATTAAAAAGATTATTAGAAGATATGAATATAATTTAACAGTTTTAAGATGTTGTTGTTCAATATTAGCAAATGTTGGACCATATATTATTGATTTAGAATGTATTAAAGAAATTGAAAGAATAATAAAAATTCATCCATATGATCAATTTATTCAAACAGCATTATGTGCAACATATGCAAATTATGCAAGAATAAATCCAAGAATTATTGTTGAAAATGGGATTATAGAAAAAATGAAACCAATGTTATGTGAAATAAATAATACAGATTTACAATATTCAGTATTAGCAGCATATTCAAATATATCAAGAAATTGTACTATTGGACAAAAGAAATGTATTGAAAATAAAATACATGAAATAATAATAAATAAATTAGTAAATGAAAAATGTACAACACAATATTGGAGAGTTTCATGTAATACATTAGGATGTTTAGCAATAAATGGATTAGGATATGAAAGTAATGAAGTAGTTAAATATGCACAAAGAAAAGGATTAATTGATAAAATTATAGAAATTCTTCATATTATTGAACATAAAGAAATACAAGATAAAAGATTTGAAAGAATGTATGGATGTTTAGCAAAATTTGCACTTGTTCAACCAATTAAAAGAATTCCTAAATTAATATGGATTTGTTATCAACAATGTTTAAAAAAAGAATTACTACCAAATCCATTAAATGAAATATTTCATAATGATTCATTTAAATGTCATATTTGTAAAAAAATATGTGATCCAATGATGATAAGAAGTATTAAATTTCAAGAAAAATTAATATTAATGTCATATTGTAGTATAAAATGTTGGAAAAAAAGACATGAAAATTAATAAATGAATTAAAAATCAATAATACTTTCTTTTTTAGATTTAGAATTAAAATAACGTTTATCACTTTCATTAAGAATATATTTAATTAAATTTAATTGTTCATTAGTATTCATATGAGTTATTATAGTACTATTAATACATTCAAATCCAAATCCAAGATTTTGCATATAAATTTGTTTTTTATGAATAAAATATTCTTCATGTGTATCTATTGATGTTAATGTATAAAAATAACCAATTCTTTCATTTTTTTTAATTCTAGATATTCTTCCAAGTCTTTGAAGTTGTTGTTTTCTTGAACCATTATTTGTACTAATTTGAATAATTACACTAGCATCAGGAATATCAAGAGAAGTATCACCAACACTTGACATTCCAATACAATTAATATCTTTTAATTTAAATTTATTTAATATATCTAATCTTTCTTTATTTGGACTTTCACCAAAAAAAATTGGACAATTTATTTGATAACCAATTTCTTTAAGAACAATAATAGAATCACAAAATAATATTATTTGTTCATTTCTTTTTAAATGTTGTTTAATAAGAAATTTTGTTACTTCAATTTTATTTGGATTAAGTGCTGATAAAATTATTTTATGTCTATAATTTGAATTATTAATATATTCTTCATAAAATGGAATAGTCATTGGACATTTAATATCAATACATTGAACATTAGCTATATATTTTTCTTTAATTAATTCTTTCCAACTTTCTTGATATAATATTGGTCCTATTAAATAATCTAAATCTTTAATTTTACAATCTTCTCTAATTGGTGTTGCTGTTATTCCAATTCTACATCTTGCTTCAATTAAATAATATATTTTTCTAAATTCTTTTGCTACTGATGAATGAACTTCATCAAGAATCATCATTCCATATTTTTTCTTTCTTATTTCTTCAATTTCTTTTGATTGAATCATTTGATATGTTGTTATTACAATATAACTTTCTTCTATTGTTTCTTTTATAATTGATGAAAAACATTTAATTTTATTTAATGGAATAGTTGACCATTTTCTAATTTCATCTCGCCATTGTTCTATAGATATTGTTGTTGTACAAATAATTATTGTTGGTTGTTGAAATGTACAAATAATACCAATTGTCATTAATGTTTTTCCTGCTCCACATGGTAAAATAATAATTCCACTTTGTGCAAATCCTTTTCTAAATACTGAACTAATTCCACTTATTTGGTATTTTCTCAAAACAGTATCATCTTTTAATGCAATAGGAATAGTTTTTTCTCCAATTTCAATTTTTTCATTTATTAAAATTCCTTTTTCTTGACATTTTTTTTTAAATACTATAATATTACTTTTTAATTCATATTCATTCTTATTTATTGTTATACATTCTTTTATTTCTTCTATTATTTTTTTATCTCCTTCACATATTCTTCTTCCTTCATAATTACAAATAACAGTTATAATTCTACTTTTTATTGTTTTTTCAATAAGTTGTTCAATTCGTTCTGGAATATTATTTTTAGAATATTTCTTTAATTGATAAATAATTATTTCTGGTTTTATTCCACTTGATATTGCTGAATAAATAGTATATTCAGTTATTATATATTCTTCCATATGTTCTAAAAGACATTTAACTTTTGATATTTTTTTAATAAATTCACTTGCTATTTGATAATTTTTATTATCACGTTCAATAATAATTAATCCATTTGGACATATCCAATATGGATTAGATGTATTTATAATCTGAAGTTTAAATTCTTCTGAATCATCATTTTCTATAGTACTTTTCATTTCAATTTAAATAACAGTTATGAATTTACTATATCAATGGATATTTTTCTTTTTTTTTTGAAAAAAAATTAGGGTTTAACTTACATTATTAAACAATGTCAATTGATAATAAAACCCAATTAAAATATCTTACAGAAGAAAAGAAAAAGAATATCAAACCAAAGAAAGTAAGTAAAAAAGAATTTAAAGAACCAAAAGAAGAAAAAAAAGAAAAAGAAATTACAAGAATTCCATTTCCAACTGGTTATTCATTAAATCCAAAAGATAAAATTCTTGGAGTTGTTTCTGAAATTAAAGATGGTAGAATTATAATTAGTTTACCATTTAGATTAAAATATGTTTGTTCATTTGAAAATATTCCATTTGTTAAACTTGGAGATATAATTCCATTATCAGTAATTTCACCAACTACAAAAGAAAATAGATTAGATTGTACATTTGATATTTCTATAATAAATGAAAATAGAGGAATTAAAATAAATGATGTTGTTTATGGAATAATTCTTTCAATTGAAGATTATGGATATCAAGTTAATGTTGGAAATAATAATACAGTTTTTGTTAAAAAAAATGAAGATATAAATGATATAACAGAAGAAAATGATATGTCAGAAATAAGTAATGAAGAAAATGAAGAAAATGAAGAAAATGAAGAAAATGAAGAAGAAAATAAAGAAAAGAAAGAATTTAGAATAAGAAAAGTAGGAGATTTTATTCAAATAAAAATTACAGAAGAAGTAGGAGATAAATTTAAAGGAATTATTGCAGATAGTAGTTGTATTGTTGAAGAAATGAAGAATGTAAGAGTAGGATGTCATGTTAAAGTTAAAAATAATTATCAAACAAAAAATGGAAATGTTATGAAAATGTCAGGAGGAAATTTATATTGTCATTTATTTCATAATAATGAAGAAGGAGAAGAAGGAGTAGTTATTTATTATAATAATCAACTAAATAAATATTATATAAGTATGTTACCACATGTTATTTGTGAAGATTTTGAAACTAAAACACCACTTGAATATTTTAAAATTATAGAATTTACAATTAGTAAAATAGATGAAAATGTAGGAATTATTGGAGAAACTGAAGATAAAGAAGAAGTATTTTTATCAAAAAAACAAATAAAAGATGAAAGTTGTTCAGATATTCCAAAAGAATTTAAAATAGGAAGTACACATAAAGGAAGAGTAATGTATTATTCAGCATTTGATGGGTATTGTGGAATAACAACAAGAGAAAGTATATTATCAGATAAATATCAAAGTATATTTGATATTAAATCAGGGATGATAATTGAAGGAACAATTAAAGAAGTTAATGAAAAAGGAATTATTGTTAAAATAGGAGAAAAAATCTATGGATTTTGTGATAAAATTAATAGTGGAGATATTCCTATTGAAGATTTACAAAGTGTATTTAAAAAAGAACAAAAAAGTAAATTTAGAGTATTAACAGTAAATAATAGAAATAATAGTATTTATTTAACACATAAAAGAACATTAATGAAAGCAACAACACCAATTATTACAACTATTGAAGAAACAGAATTAAATACAATAACATTTGGTACAGTAACATTTATTGATAATAAAAGAGGAGTATATTTAAAATTCTTTAATAATATAGAAGGGTTTATTCCTACAATTGAATTATTTAATCAAAAAATAGGAATGATTAGTATTGGACAACTTTTAAAAGTTAGAATTATTTCATTTGATAAACAACTTTTACTTTGTTCATTAAATTTATTCCCAGAAGAAAATGTACCAGAAAAATATGAAGATGTTAGTAGACATTTTGAAGTAGGAGAAATTTATGAAGGAATTGTTGTTGCTAAAAGAGAAAAAATTATGTTAGTAAGAATTAAAAGTGGAGATGTTCAATATATTGCAATGATGCCATATTATCTTGTTATTGATGGAGATGAAGGACAAGATATTCCTAAAATGATAAGAAATGGAACAATATTAAAAGAATGTTTATTATTAAAGAATCAAATGGGACAAATGGTAATTACAACAAAGAAATCACTTATTTCATTAAGAAAAAAAATAGGAAAATTTAATTCTAAAGAAGAAATGACAGTTGGAAAATATATTGGATATGTAAGTAAAATTAAAGGAAAGTATTGTTTCATTTCATTTTATAATGGAGTAACAATACTTTGTTATAGAATGAATGTTAGTGATACTAATTTACCAATTGAAGAAGTATTAGAAGTTGGACAAACAGTATATGGATATTTAAATAAGAAAGGTATTTTTTCATTAAAAGAAAGTAGTGTAGGAAGTATTAAAGAAGAATTTATGTTATTAAGAGTAGAAAGAGATGTTGAACCAAAATATGGAAGTCAACTTAAAATAGAAATAAAAGATATTAAACCATATGGAATTATTGGAAAAAATAAAGAAAGAGAAGAAACAATATTTATTCCAAAAACAGGAATTGAAGGAGATATTAAAGAAATGAATAAAGGAAATACTATGAAATGTATTGTTATTGGAGTTGATAAAGAAAGAAAAATGATTGATTGTATTCAAGAAAAAATGATTACAAAACAACATATAGAAAATAATAAAATATATAAAGGAAAAGTTCTTCTTAATAAAGAAGAGTATTGTGTTTGTCTTGTTGAAGGAAATATTGTATTTGTAAATAAAATTCGAATGAATGGAGGAAAATATACAGTAAAAGAAGAAGTTGAAATAATCATTGGAAAAGAAATGGAAGGATATCAAAATATTTATGAAGGAACAATTAATAGTAAACCAATTGTTTATAGCATTAAAAATAATACAATTAATATTGGAGAGAAGATAGAAGGAGTAGTAAGTTATACAAATGAAAGTATTAGTTATTTAAATTTAGGAAAAGGAATTACAGGAAGATTACATAAAATTAATAGTACAAAGAAGATAGAAATAGGAGAGAAAATAGAATGTTATATTATTGGAATACAAGTTAAAGGAGAAATAATTAAAGAAAAAGGAAAAGAAATAGAAGGAAGAATAGAAATAGTTGAATTAAGTATGAAGGAAGAAGGAAATATGGAAGAAAAAATTCAAGAAGGAGAAGAAATCGAAGGAATTATTAGTAGAGAAATGAAAGATGGATATATAATTTCGTTTAATTCAATACTTAAAGGAAAATTAAATTATATTGAAATAGGAGATAATATTGAAGAAATTAATATAAATAAAAAAGAATATAATGTTGGAGATAAAATAAAAGTTAAAGGATATTATAGTAAAGAAAATATCTATTTAATAAAAGACAAAAAAGAAGAAATTAAAGAAGGAGAAATTATTGTTGGAGAAGTTATTGGTAATAATACAAAAGAATTAAAAATTAAAGTATTAATTAAAGGAAATAGAATAGGATATATTCATTATTGTGATATAAGTAATGTTTTTAATCCATTTCCAAGAGATTATTTACAAAATGGAAAATATATTAATATGTATGTACTTTCAAATAAACCCGAAATTTTATGTTCAATGAGAAAAGAATATTTAAAAGAAGCTTATGATGAAATATTCCCACCATTAATAGGAGGAGTTCAAACACGTATTGTAACAAAAGATACTATTAAAGAAGGAGAAATTTTAACAGGATATATTATAAAAAGTAGTGAAGAAGAAGGAGTTGATGTAATGGTATCAAGAGATGTAACTATTCATGTAGCACCAGGAGAATTATTAGATAATACAAGTTATCATGGGAAAGATTTTTCAAGAATCTTTTGTATTCAACGATTAGTAAAAGTAAGTATCATTGATAAAGAAGGATTAGAAGGAACATTAAAACAAAGTGTTATTTATCCAGGAATAATTAAATACTTTAAAGATATCAAAGAAAATATAGTAACTAAATGTGTTATAGTAAATATTACAAGTGAAGGATTGTTTTTAAGATTCTTTAATTCTAATATTCGAGGATTATGTCATTGTAGTAAAATAGAAGATAAAAAATTAACAAAGAAAGAAATGGAAAAGAGATTTAAAATTAAAGATGTCATAATGGCAAAAGTAGTTCATATTGACAAGAAGAAACATCGAGTTAATTTTAGTATCAAACCAGAAGATGTAGGAGAAGTAGAAATGAAAGATGAAGAAGAAACAATAGCTATTGATCCATGGAAATTAGCATTAAAAAGAAAAGAACAAAAAAGAAGAAATGAAGAAAAAGATATTGCAATTAAAGAAGAAATGAAAGATGAAGAATTTAAAGAAGGAGTAGAAGATGAGGCTAACATAGAATGGGATGATCCTACTAAAGAAGAAGAAAAACATGAAAATACTACTATGGAAGAGGAAGAAGAAATAGAAGAAGGTAAAGATAATAATAAAGAAGAAGGAAGTATGGAAGAAGATAAAGAAGAAGAAGATAAAGAAGAAGAAAATATGGAAGAAGAGGAAAGTGAAGAAATTGTATTAGATTTAGATGAATGTCAAAAAGGAGTTGAAAAAGACCCAGATAATTCAATAGAATGGATTAAATTAATGCAATGTTTCATTCAAAGAAAAGAAATAGATGAAGCAAGAAAAGTAGGAAAGACAGGAATAGAAAGTATCAATTTTAGAAAATTAGAAGAGAAATTAAATATTTGGAAAGCATTAATGCAATTAGAAGCTAATCATGGAGATGAAAAGAGTTTAAAGAAAGTATATAATGAGGCATTAGAGGTATGTGATAGGAAGAAAATCATGCTTCATATGATTCACATTTACAAAGAAAAGAAAGAGGTAGAAGAAGAAGAGAAAATCTTCAGAACATTATTTAAGAAAGTTAAAGGCAGTTGTAAAGTATATAAGAAATACTGTAATTTCCTAATGAGAAACAACAGAGAAGAAGAAATCAAAAACACATTAAGCAAAGCAAAAACAACATTAGATAAAAAGAAAATGATAAGTTTAGAAATTCATATTGCCCGATTAGAATATAAATATGGATCAGTTGATAAAGGAAGGTCAATGTTTGAAGATATTTTAACAAACAATCCAAAACGACATGATGTTTGGAATATTTATATTGATATGGAGAAAGAAGTAGGAGATGTAGGAGTAATAAGAAGAATATTTGAACGAATAGTTAAACAAAAACTAAGTACAAAGACAATGAAAACATTCTTAACTAAATACTTAGAATTTGAAAGAAAATATGGAGATGAAAGTAGACAAGAACATGTTAGAGACATTGCTAAATCATTTGTTTCAACAAAATGAATTGATTGATTTTTAAGTATTTGTAATTATTTATCAAATAATAAAAGAAGAAACTAAGTCAATGAAATATCTAAACTAAATTATCAATATACTTTCAATAATTATTTTAGAGTATTTTTATTAAGTTTATTTGTTTTATTCATTGTCATAATTGATATTTGAGATATTCTTTAATTCTATTGTTTCAATCTTTTATTCTTTAACTCTTGTTTTTATTCTTCGTTTCTATTATTTTTTTCTTTGTCTTTTATTTTAAACATCTTGTTTCTTATTCATAAATCATTGTTTTGTTATTTGTAAAATATGAAATATGATAGAATATTGAATAATAAAATACTCTATTCATTTATAATGTGATTAAAATAATATAAAAGCAATTAATTAATGAAATGTATTTATTAAAGATATTGAAATTAATAAAATCATTTGAATGTTATTTTGAATTATAATCATACAACTCTTATTTATTATTTTGTTTTATTATTTATTCAATTTCTTGTTTATTTACGTTCATTTAAATAAAACAAAAAAAGAAATAAAGATAAGAATATATATTGAAATAATTTTATTGACGTTTAAAATGGTTTGAAATATAATTTATATAAATAGGATGTTAAACGTATTTTAATATATATAAAATAAGTATTAATAATATAAATCAGTGCAAAGTCAATGACAAAATGAAATGCAGATGAAAATAATACTAAAATAGTTAATGAATTAAAAAGAATAAAATGAAATACATGAATAAGAATGATGATATATTGCATTTAAATTATTTATAATGTATAAAAGAAATATATTCATTTGATACATGAATGTAAAGAAAATAAAAGAAAATTTACACAATAACATTAAAAAGGTGAATAATAAAAATAAGAAAGAAAAGAAATAAATGGTATTATAGGTAAATGATATAAATTAATGAAGTGATGATGACATTCATAAATTGTTAGATATGAATAATGAAACAATCAATTAATTCATTTGAAGGTGATATTGAGAAATAGATGATGTTAAATTAATTATTATCATTTTATTTTAAAATTATTTTTTTCAAGTTTAAAGATAATGAAGAAGAAATAAAGTGAATAATTTGAAATTGTAATTTTATTTTAATAATTGTTTCTAAAATGTCACTTGGTAAAATTGATGAAATCATATTTTAACAAATAAGAAATAAATTCAAGTATTTTATATAAAATAATGAAATAGAACATAATAAAATTATGAAAAAATTCAAATTAAATTTACAATAACATTTAAAAGAAATAATAAAAAAGAAGAATAAAAGAGAATAATTAGAAATATAATGAACAAAGAAATAAAAGAGAAATAAAAATAAATAAAATTTAACACAAGAAATGAAGATAGAAAAGAAAATAAAAAAAAAAGAATAATGAAATAACAATAGAATCAATGATGGAAATAATCAAATGAATAACATAATGAAATAATAAGTATGAATAAATAAATAAGTCTAAATAGTCAACATCAAATAATAAAATAAAGAAGAAAAGATAGATATACAAAATGAATAAAATGAAATAAAACAACAAATAGAAAATAAATAGGGGGTAATAAATAAAAAAGAAAAAGAAAAGGAAATAAAATAAATTATGAGAAGAAAATATATAAATTGAAACAACATTTGTGTTAATACAGTATGATAAAAATAACGACACAATCATGTTAACGAAATTGAAAATGAAAGAAAAGAAATAAAGAAATAAAACTGATAAACCACGAAATTCGATAAAAATAAATAGAAATAACATTACATTAACACCGATAATGCTATTTTTATGATTATGAAATGATAAAATAAAAACAAAACAGTGAAAAACATCACTGGAATAAAATAGAAATAATAGTAATTCTTCATTCAACAGTATTTAAAGAAGATGAAAAAGCTATAAAATAACAAAACATGTTTGGAATTAAAGATAGAAAAAAATATGGAATGAAAATACCAGAAAAGTTTTGTGGAATAGCTGATGAATGTTTTTCTGGATGTAATAATCTTAGGCAAATTAATATACCATCAAATATTGAATCAATAGGAGACTCTTGTTTTTCGGAATGTACATCATTAACAACAATTAATATACCAACAAGTGTTAGTGAAATAGGAGATGAATGTTTTAGTAGATGTACATTATTAAAATCAATTACTATTCCATCAAGTATAAGTAAATTAGGATATGGATGTTTTTCGGAGTGTTCATCATTAACAACAATTAATATACCAACAAGTGTAATTGAAATAGAAAGGAGATGTTTTAATGAATGTAAGTCATTAAGAACAATTGCTATACCAACAAGTGTAGTTGAAATAGGAGATAATTGTTTTGATGAATGTAAAATATTAACATCAATTACGATACCAACAAGTGTAAGTAAAATAGGGGATGGTTGTTTTTCAGAATGTTCATCATTAAGAATAATTTCTATATCTACAAGTGTAATTGAAATAGGATATGGATGTTTTAATGAATGTTCATCATTAAAAACAATTAATATACCAACAAGTACAAGTAAAATAGGAGACAATTGCTTTGATGGATGTAAAACATTACAATCAATTGACATACCAACAAGTGTAAGTAAATTAGGAGATGGATGTTTTTCAGAATGTTCATCATTAGACTCAATTACTATACCAACAAGTATAAGTAAATTAGGAAATAATTGTTTTAGAGAGTGTTCATCATTACAATCAATTGACATACCAACAAGTGTAAGTAAATTAGGAAATAATTGTTTTTCTGGATGTACAAGATTAAAAACGATTACTATATTCACAAGTGTTAGTAAAATAGGAAGTTCTTGTTTTTATGGATGCTCATCATTAACAACAATTAGTATAGAAGATGTAAAATATATAAGTGAAGAAAGAATATTTATGAATGAACCAGTGTTAATTAGTATTGAAATACCAAAGAATTTAAAAACAATAAATGGAAAGAAGATTGAAAAGAAAGATATTAATGAATTTATTATTCCATCAACAATCACTAAATTAGGAAATGGTTGTTTTGAAGAATGTGAATCATTAAAATCAATTACTATACCAACAAGTGTTAGTGAATTAGGAAATGATTGTTTTGAAGAATGTGAATCATTAACAACTATTAATATACCAACAAGTGTTAGTGAACTAGGAGATAGTTGTTTTAGTTCTTGTTCATTATTAACGTCAATTAATATACCAACAAGCGTTAGTAAAATAGGAAATAGTTGTTTTTATGGATGTACAAGACTAAGAACGATTAATATACCAACAAATGTTAATGAACTGGGAAATAGTTGTTTTGATGGATGTTCGTCATTAACATCAATTAATATTCCATCAAGTGTAATTGAAATAGGAGATTGGTGTTTTTCAGAATGTAAGTCATTAAGAACAATTACTATACCAACAAGTGTAATTGAAATAGGAGGGTGGTGTTTTAATGAATGTAAATCATTAACATCAATTAATATATCCACAAGTGTTATTGAAATAGGAGATAATTGTTTTGATGGATGTCCGAATGAGTTGAAAAAGAATGAGGTATTAAGAAAGATATATTATAAAGATGACTGTGTCATTGTTTAAGTGAAGGAAATTAACCTAAAATAATTGAATTTTAAAATAAGAAATAAAGAATAAAATAAGAAAAGAAAATAAAGATATAATAAAAATTAAGAAGAAAAGAATAAAGAGAAATTATAAGAATATAAACAAAATAATAAAATAAATATACAAAATGAATATAAATGAAAAAAGAATAACATAATCAAATAAATAATATAATAAGAAATAGAAATGAATTTTGTTTTATTAATCGTTTAAAATTGAAAATATAAAAAGAAATAAAGAAATGATTAACACATTGATAAATTAAATGAATAACATATTATTCTCATTCAATTAATATTATTCATTTTAAATATCATCATTTTTCATGATTCTTTTCATACAAAGAAAGACAAATAAAAATAACATTAAAGAAATAATAAAATGGCAATATTTCATAACTAAAAAGTAGAAAAGAATAAACATAAAAAGAAAAAATATAAAACAGATATATCAAGATATAAAGAAGTATTTATTAATTTATATGATATATACTCAAATAAAAAAATGATTGAAATAATTAATTCTATTTTCCAATTGAAATTCGTTGTATTTTGTGAATGAAGAAATAAACAAAGAAGAAAATCAAATAGAAACAATATAATATTTATTTAAATAAGAATAAATGTATGATAATTGTTATTTAAATTAAAATTTGTTTATACATATGATTTAAAGTTCATTAAGCAATTTTAATATTGAAAAGAATAATTAAAAATAAGTGATAAATCAAATTCAAACATAAAGAAGTTAAATGATTTGTGTATGTTGCTGATAATCATTTTCACGAAGAATGTAATTAAATGATAATAAAAATTAAAGATAGTGATAATTGTACAAAGGTCTAAGATTAAAATAAGTTATACTAACAATAGTTTTAACGAAAAAAGAATTTCTGGTAACCGTCAACAATTTGTTAAAGTTATATCTGATACACTTCAATTAAAATACTTTTGAAATGTGTGTGTATATTATATGAATAGTTATCAAAAGAAGAATATTTTAAAAGATAAAAACAAAAAGAGTTGAATAAACTTATTAAACAAAAGAAAACACTGATATTCAATGTATTTTATACATTCACAATAAAATAAAAGATAAAACAAAAAGAGAAATTGAAAGAAAAAAATAATAAAAAGTGAATGTGATAGAATCAAGTTGTGATTATTGATGTTGTTAATTTCTTATCGTTGAATATTCAATATACACTTCCCACATACCTTCAAATTTTCTTTCGTTTAAACAATACTTAATCCACTTATTTCCATTGTTATTATTAAAATATATATGATGATAAAAATGAATGAAATGATTCATATAATGTTTAGTATGATGATTATTGTATCTCTGTCAATACAAATATTTCATATTTTACACACTCTTCTATCGTTTATATTTATTTGTTGATATGAAATTTTCTTTTGTTATTATTAACATCTTTGTGACATTTCATGACTTTCATTTTTTAGTCGAAAGAAAAGAATTGGAAAAAGAAAAATAAAAGAAATTGAAATAAAAATGATAACATATTTATATATCATAATCATTACCCCTTCAATGTTATCATAATTTCAGCACAATGATGTTTGAAATGATGAAATAAAGAAAGAGTATTAACAATAAAAATAAAAGAATAACCGAAAGAGAAAATAGAATGAAATAAGTCAATTGATTTTATCTATTTTTAATTTAAAGAAATTCAAGTCAACAAAAAATAGACAAAAAGGAATGATTAAGAAGCAATTATCAATGTATTTTTACAATGAAGAAAATTTTATTGTAACTTTATTTCATGAATATGCAATTGACGATAAAAAATATACCGAAATAAAAATAAATAAAACGAAGTGAAATATTAAAAACGGTGTTTAGTATCGAAACAAATGATGTTTATGAGAAATAACCAATCAGAAAAGAAGTACTACTTTTAAACAAATAACCTATTTTGACGAATGGTATGTATTTAAACAAGAAAACAAACTTGTTAATCATTAAATGTCAAGAGTAGTAGTTAGATTTATTTTAAATGGACAATGCGTTGCAACTAAACCACTAAATTCACAAGACAAATTGAAAACAGCAAGAGAGAAAATAAAAGAAAAGATGTCTGACTCTCAACACTTTTTAACAAAAGAAGGAGATATAATTGATAAGAATGATGAAGAGTGTTTTACTGTAGGAGATGTAATTGATGAAAAAAGAGTAATAAATATTAAAGGAATAGAAGATAAAAAAGAAATAAGAATAAAGATAAATGATAAGATAATTACTACTATTGAAATAGATATTAAAACACCATTAAGTGATGTTAGAAAAATAGTTCAAAACATTCCAGATTCAGCATATTTCTATACACTTGACAATGATAAAATTGAAAGAAATACTGAAGAAGAATTTATAGTAGAAGACATAATAAATAATGATGAAATTATTCTTAAAGAAGAAAAAGAAAATATACCAGAAATCAATGATATAACAATTGGAATATGTTTGAATGGAAAACCAAAGATAAAAAAGCAATTCAACAAGAATATTTCTCTTTCAGATCTTAGAAAAGAAATTGAAAATGAAAAAGAAATTCCAAAAGACTTTTCTTTTGAAGATCAAGATGGATTTAAAATATCAATTAATGATGAACAATCATTAAAACTAACATCTATTTTGCACGATAATAAAATCAATATAAAAACAGAAGTTACTGATACCTCTCCTAATAATATTGAAGTTAGTCTTAAAGATGAGAAAGAAAATACACCAGAAATCAATGATATAACAATTGGAATATGTTTGAATGGAAAACCTATGCTTAAAAAGCAATTCAACAAGAATATTTCTCTTTCAGATGTTAGAAAAGAAATTGAAAGACTACAACAAATTCCGAAAAGGTTTGATTTTGAAGATCAAGATGGATTTAAAATATCAAGTGATGATGAACAATCTTTACAATTAACATCTATTTTGCATGATAATAAAATCAATATAACAACATTGACAGAAGACATAATAAATAATACATTAACTAATGTTTCACCCAGTAAAACAACAACACAGTGCACTCCATTAAGTAATAATTGTAATCAATGCTTCCCAAATAAAAGTAACGATTCTGAAACTTCAACAAGTAATACAGATGTGTCTGAACCAAATGTTCCAATTGAAGGAAGTATAAGATTGGAAAATCATGAAAATGGAAAATTAAAAATATATTTATATCCAAATCAGCCATTTAATCAAAAAGATGAGAATGATGCAATTGGTATTCTAGTTGTTGGTCAAACAGGAAGTGGCAAAACTACATTATTGAATAGTTTTGTAAATGCATTATATGGAATAAAAATAACAGATGACTTTAGATATATAATTATAAATGAAGATAATTTAGAACAACGTAAAGATCAATCTAAAAGTCAAACAAGTCAAGTAACAATTTATAATATTAAAAGAACAAAAAGAACACCACCAATCAAAATAATAGATACACCAGGATTTGGAGATACAAGAGGAATTGCTTATGATAGGGAAATTACTAAACAAATAAAAGAAGCATTTGAAAATAAAGTATTAGATTTAAATGCTATTTGTTTTGTTGCACAATCAAGTAATGCAAGATTAACTCTAAGTCAACAGTATATATTTGGGAATATTATCAACTTATTTGGGAAAGATGTTAAAAAGAATTTTATTGCAATGCTTACATTTTGTGATGGTAAAACACCACAAGTCATAAATGCATTACAATCAAAAGAATGTGATTTCAGTACAATTATTCCAGAAATAGACTCACCATGGTATTTAAAATTCAATAATTCAGCTATTTATGATGATAATACAGAAGATAAATTTACACAAATGTTTTGGGAATTAGGTATGAAGAATTTTGATGATTTTATAACAAAATTATTAAAACTACCAAGAAAATCATTAGAGAAATCAAGAGAAGTGTTGAAGAGAAGAGAGTGTATTAAGGCACGAATTGAAGACTTAAAAACAACATTAAATAGTCAATTGGCAAAAATGAATGAGATAAAACAGATATATGAACAGCTGAATGAAAATCGAGAAAAAGTTAAAAATAATGAAAACTTTACTTTAACTACACAAGTAGAAGTACAAAAAAAGGTTGACTTAAAACCAGGAGAATATGCAACGAATTGTAATAAATGTCATAAAACATGCCATTATCCATGTCATGTTCCATTTTTTATTTCAGCATTTACAAACAGATTTTGTACATGCATTGAAAACAAACATTGTAGAGTATGTGGTTGTCATCATACAGAACATGTAAATGAATCATGTAAATATGAATATGTAATAGAGACAAAAGAACAAAAATTGGAAGATGTGTATAAAAGATATAGTGAAGGTAAAGAAGGTATGGCTAGTGCAGAAAGTATGTTAATAAGGTTAGAAGAAGATTATTATAAAATTCAAAGTGAATGTTATGACCAACAACAAGAAATTATCGATTGTGTTAATACATTATCTGAAATTGCATTAAATAAGAAAGTGACCAGTTCAAATGAATACTTAGACATGTTGATTAAAACAGAAAATGAAGAAAAGAAACAAGGATATGAAGCAAGAGTTGAAGGATATAAAGAACTTAAAAAAACGAATGAAATGATAGAAGATATTATGAAAAATTCAACAACAAAAAAGAGTAAGGAAGAAATTAATGCAGAAGTTAAAAGAAGAATGAAAGAAGAAGAAAAAACAACAAGAGTTAAAACAGGGAGAAGTTGGTTATCAGCAAAACCAAATAACCAAAAGAAATGAAAGTTTTAATTAACTGGTTTTAAAAATATTTTTTTTTAATTAAGGAATAAAATTGATAATTAATATTCATTATTCACAATTGACAATACCAAACTATTTTGTTTTCAATCAAATTCACTCAATATGTTTGAATGAATAGAATAAATCAAATCAACCATCTTGTTGTTAAATACATTGTTTTATTATCACTAATAATGTCATTTTCAAAAGTTCACCATTTAATTAACTCTGCTTTTGATTGATATATCTTTCATTATGTTTGTATAGTGGATATCATTTTTATTCTTTATTATTAGTTTTCTTTATTACCATTTCATAATATTTCTTCTAATTATTTTATTTATAACTATAAATCAAATTATTTGTTTTTTTTTTCTTTGACTTTATTCTTTTTTCTCAATATTCTTAGTATTTCTTAGTATTTCTTTATTTTCTTCATTCTTATAAACTTTCTATTTCTTCTTTCTATTATGTCTTTTATATTTATGCTTTATGTCTTTAGGCTATGTTATTTTTTCGTACATTATTTGATTAATTGTATCTCAATCATCAATGAATAACATAGAAATCGAAATGAAATATCTTAAAAGTAATTGTAAAAGAACTAAATTTGAAATTGTCTTTCAATGTGATGAATCAACAATGAAAATGATGTTTGATGAATGTGTGAGACAAAGTCACAATTCAAAATATTCTCTTATTATTTTGTTGATAATTCATTATGTTAATTGATTGTTTCACAAATAAATACATCATAAAGAAGGACATCATCTGAAACAATCATCAAAAGATGAAATATTTCATTTGTTTGTGTTTTTATTGTATATTGAAATACGTAATGAAATAAAAATACTCTAAAAACACTTGAATAATCATGACTGAAAAGAAATGTGTAAAATAATATGTTCAGAACATGATTTGAAATAATGTGTTAAGAGTACGAAAATAAGCAAAGAAAAAATGCATCTAAATAATTTGCAAAAAAGAAAAAAGATGCAAAAAAATTTGCATCCATAGAATATTCAACTTATTATATTTTGCTCCTAAAAAAAATAAAAAAATAAAAAATATGATAAATACAGAATATATAAATATTTATGTTTATATTTTATAATCATTTGTATTCATTTTATATGAAATATTAATGAAATAGATGATTTGATTATTCATATTTATTTTTATTATTTTTATTCTTTTATTTATATGTTATTTATCTATCGTATTTTTATATTTATTTCTCTGTTTATATTATTTATATCATTGTATTCTTCTTATTATCTATATATTATTATATTCTTCTTATTTTATGTTTTTTATGTTTATATTATTTAGATTTTCTTATTGTTATTCTTTTCTATTTAAATGTATTTTATTATTTGTTTATTCATCCTTATCATTTTTATATTATTATCATTTATATCTACTTTCATTTTATATTATTTCTCTTTTGTTTTATATTAATATTAATTTTATATTTTATACTTTTTATTTTCTTATTATATCATTTATTATCATTTCTCCTTTTATTTATCATTTATTCTTATTATTCTTTTGTTTTATATTCTATCTATGTTATATATTCATATCATTTTCATTTATATTACATATTACATTTTATATAATAACATAACACATATGATTGAATATATATTAAACATCATGTTTAAATATACATATAAATAATAAACATAAAAATAATAAAATAATTTTCAATAATAAAATAATACCAATTATTTTACATCATTAAATTAGACACTTTTATTTCATATTTCTAATTTTTACAATAAAAAATACACTTTTTATTTCTTCATTCATCTTTTATTATCTATTCTATTTTATTACTCTTTATCTTCTTTCTTCTTCTACTTTCTTTTTATTCTTTTATATATTTATATTCTTTTATATCTTTATCTTCATTGCCTAATTTAATAATCATTAAATTCAAAATGAAATAATGAGTTAAAAAAAGAAACAAATAATTTGATAGTAATTGAAAAACAATAATTTAAAAGAAATAAAACAAAATGAAGAAATTGATTTTCTTATTTCTCAATATGATGAAAATCAAAATATTATATTAAACATAAAAGAAAACAAATATTTTAAGAAAGAGTGTATTTCATTAGCATTATAATAGTTTGTATACTTTTCTATAATTCGTAACAATATTAACGTAAAATATTTTGTTGAATAATATCCATTATATATTTCATCATTTCTTTAATAATACATACCAATTATTATATTAGAATGATTAATATACATTCTTTATAATAATGAATAATACAAATTGTATCAAAATAGAAAATCATAAACAAATAATAAAAAAGAGAGTTTACTCATAAATTTGTATTATGAATTATATGATATTTCACATAAATTAACTTCTATTTAACAAATAGAAATAAATATACAAACAAGAAATAAATAAACAGAAATAAATAAACGTATTAATTGAAGAAGAGATTTAGAATTATAAAATCAAGAAGAAAACATCATAATATAACAAAACATCATAATATAACATAAATAATTACAAACAATTAGAATAAACACACATCCTAATGATACAAAGCAAATCAATAAAGAGTAATACAACACACATAAATGTGATAATACTACAAATGAAATAATAAACGAAGGAATGAGAATATAAAAGAATAAAAAGAGAAGAAATAATAATAGTAAAAGAGAAAAAAAGATAGAAAAGAATAAAAAGAATATCAACACAAATTAAGAAAGTTAAACCAAGAAATAACAAAAGAAGAAAAGAATAGTTTTAATTAAAAATGAATAAGAATAAATAAGTAGAAGAATAAGAAATACCAAAAAGAGAAATAAATATAAGATGATAAAAATATAAAGAAAAATCAAACAATTAATAATAATAAGAAGTAAAAGAGATAGAAGAAGAGACAAAATAAGAAAAGAAATAAGATAAAAAGATAAGAGAAGAATAAAGGATAAAGAGAGAAAATAAAATAAGTCAGTTATGATTAACCTTATTTTTTAGGTTTTTCATCATGTTGAGAAGTGAGCGAATTAGTTTCTTCAAAATGCTTTATTTCTATTGAAATATTGTTTTTGCAAGCATGCTCGAATTAAATAATTCTTCATTTAAGTTGCTGTATGACTTTTATTTTGATTTTAATGAGTAATATAATATTTCTCATTCTTTATATTGTTGTTTTAAGGAGAGTATATCCATAACATACTGTTATAGCTCATCTCCTTTTACCTTCGACACCCTTTAAAGAAATACCATCCCTTGATAATATCCTTATATTCAAACGTACATCCAACAGTAACAATAATATATGCATCTTCTTTAATAAATGATAATTCTTAATACATAATACCTCCTTATTAAATAATAATCCTTATAAATAATAATGAATAACAATACACCTCAATGAATAATAATCTTTTATAATAAATATTAATAAATAATAACAAGTTAGTTTTGAATATAAATTATCACACCAAATGCATGTCATGACTAGGCAATAACTGAGATATTTGAAGTATGTAAATATTTTATTGTTGTATGTGGTGTCTGTGACGTGCCATCTTCGAATCTATAAAGGATAAAGAGAGAAAAGAGAAAAAGAAAAAAATAAAAAAACGAAAATAAAAAAAGAAAATAAATGAACTAAATAAAGAAGAAATTAAAGAATATCAATTAATAGATATATCCATAATTGGATTTTCTTCATATTGAGAAGTGATTATTTCAGTTTCTTCAATATGCTCTATTGTTGTAATAGAGTTAATTTCTAACATACTCGCATTAGATTGTTCTTCTTCTAATGTGCTGCCAGAATTTCCTGTGTAAAACATTAAGTCTTTCATATTTTTGATAATTATTGTTTGTATGATTGTGGAAAAGTATAATTGTAATTTTAGTGATTTTAATCTTCTTATAGACTCTTTATGTATTAATCCATTTATTGATAATATTACAGGTATTATTTCTACATATATTATTTCTCTATTATTTCTTAATTTCTCTTGTAAATCTTTGTATTTATTTATTTTATGAATATAATTTAATTCTAAATTATTATCCTGACATATAGCAACATCTATAATATATCATTTCTTTTCTGTAATATTTTGATAATATATATCTTATATTCTAGCATGGAAAGAATTTTCATTAACCAATAAATCTTTATTGTAAATTATGACCATTTTATCATTATTAATACATTTAGGAGGATTATTAAAATCAAATGAATCAAATTCAGTAAAGTGTGTAATTAATATATGTTTATATATTTGTTTACAAACATAATCATGTTTTAATATTTGGTTCTTTTTCATTACAGGACATCCTAACAATATATGATTAATAGATGCTATAGTGTTATGACAATGTTTACAATATTTTAAAGCATCATTTTTGAGTATTTTAGATTTAATATTTCCTGTCATAGTTACTCCTTCTTGCATCTTTACTATTTGGAGGAATGCATTTATTTTTATATTTAATGACCTCCAAGTGGCTACTGTTAATTTCTTATCATTGAAAGTGCCATTTGCACATCTTATATATTCTCCACATTTCTTTTCTTTCCATTCATTTAAATATCTTTCATTTAATTCATTATTTACCCATTCAAATACTTCCTTTACATTGTGCTTTCTTTCATTTAATTCTATTACGTTCATTAATTCATTAAAATTAATCTTCTTACAAAATACTTTCTTCATTCTTTTAATTATTCAATTTGGATTTTCTTTTATTGTTTCTATCATTTCTCCTATTTCTGTGCTTGATCTCCACTTATATTTTAAATATATTCTTAATAATTCTTTAGCGCATTCATCTCTTGCTGACATTAATCCTAATCCAAATTCATTTATTTTAACATATAGTATACTTTTTGGGATATTTCTACTGTATAATTGGAGTTGTATTAATGCTTTTCTTATCTGTTTATCTATCTTCTCCAATTCTCCTAGTTTCCATGTGACAATACAAAATCCATATCTTA